ACACACACACACATACACACACACACAGACACACACACACACACACACACACACACACACCTCATGTTTGAACATGTTGAGATCAGTTCTCAGTTTATCAGTTTGACTTAATTAACAACAAAATTCCTTCAGGATTGTTTCAGATTAATAATCCATGATCAGCAGATTATTGAGGTTAGATCAGCAGCAGGTGTTTACAGTATTCGAGTCATGGCTGCTGATTGTAATCTGTGGTTCTGGTTTCATTTGGACCTGAACTAGTTTCATATTTTTCTAAATCTTTTGTAAATTTTTAATCTTTTATTTTGAAAAACCAGGAGCCTCAATCTGATTCTGGGATGAAGTTCAACAACAAAGAGTCAGAACTGTTCAGAACCCAATGAAAACAGAAAGATCCAGTTTGCTCCCATAGTGGGTCAGAGGTTCTGATCCAGGACCAGGACCAGGACCAGGACCAGGACCAGCAGCAGGGATGTTTAGAACCTGTGGAAGAACAGTTTTAGTGTGACAGGTCCTCACGTTGACATCGTCCTCCGTCCGTCTGTGTCCAGCCCCAGCAGCACTCCACACTGTTACCATAGCGACAGAGACCACGGGACAGCTGGACCCGGTCCGTCCATCTGCAGCAGAGAAAGATTATTAATCTGAGTGTTGCCTGCAGAGACAGATTATTAATCTGAGTGTTTCCTGCAGCAGAGACAGATTATTAGTCTGAGTGTTGCCTGTAGAGACAGATTATTAATCTGAGTGTTTCCTGCAGAGATAGATTATTAATCTGAGTGTTTCCTGTAGAGACAGATTATTAATCTGAGTGTTTCCTGCAGAGACAGATTATTAATCTGAGTGTTTCCTGCAGCAGAGACAGATTATTAATCTGAGTGTTTCCTGTAGAGATATATAATTAATCTGAGTGTTTCCTGCAGCAGAGACAGATTATTAATCTGAGTGTTTCCTGCAGAGACAGATTATTAATCTGAGTGTTTCCTGTAGAGACAGATTATTAATCTGAGTTTTTCCTGCAGCAGAGACAGATTATTAATCTGAGTGTTTCCTGCAGCAGAGACAGATTATTAATCTGAGTGTTTCCTGTAGAGATATATAATTAATCTGAGTGTTTCCTGTAGAGACAGATTATTAATCTGAGTTTTTCCTGCAGCAGAGAC